AGAGATTGGGGCTGGAAAGGCTGAACATTTTGATGTAACCGATGATGATGTCGTAAGATATAAAGGTAGAGTGTATGTGCCTAATGATGCTCGATTGAAAAATATCCTACTTGAGGAGGCTCATTAGAGTAGATATACCATTCACCTAGGAGCAATTAAGATGTATCATGACTTAAGACGCGGTCAGTGGTGGTAAAGGATGAAGAGAGATGTAACTAAACATGTAACTCATTGTTTGACTTGCCAGAAAGTCAAAATTGAGCATCAAAAACCAGCCGGAATGCTACAGTCTCTTGATATTCCAAAGTAGAAATGGGACAGCATTTCTATGGACTTCGTTACAGGATTTCCTAGAACATCTTCTGGTCATGACACTATATGGGTAATCGTAGATCGACTCACCAAATCAACTCATTTTCTTACTACCAATATCACATATTCTCTTAAAAAATTAACTGAAATCTACATAAGAGAAATGGTGAGATTGCATGGAGTGTCGACAAATATCGTATCTGACCGTGATTCGAGGTTCACATCAAACTTTTGGAAGACATGACAGGAAGCCATGGGTACTCGTCTGAGTTTTAGCACCGCTTACCACCCCCAGACCGATGGGCAAACGGAACGAACCATACAAACTCTTGAAGATATGTTAAGAGCTTGTGCCATTGAGCTTAAAGGTAATTGGGATAGCCACTTGCCATTAGCTGAATTTGCCTACAATAATAGTTTTCATTCTAGCATTCAGATGGCACCTTATGAAGCATTGTATGAAAGAAAATATAGATCGCCACTGTGTTGGATAGAATTAAGAGAACTGTTTTGGGGCCGGACATTGTTGATGAGACTACCCAAAAGATTGCTTTAATCAAGCAAAAATTACTCACAACTCAGAGTAAACAAAAGAGTTATGCGGATAAGAGGAGAAGACCGCTTGAGTTTGAAGAAGGTGACCATGTATTTTTGAAAATCTCTCTAGTAACTGGTGTTGGAAGAACTATTAAGGCTAAGAAGTTGACACCAAGATTTATGGGGCCTTTTGAGATCTTAAAATGAGTTGGACCAGTAGCGTACCAAGTAACATTACCACCCCAAATTGCTGGTATACACAATGTATTTCATGTATCACAACTAAAGAAGTATCAACCAGATCCTTCCCATATAATTGAACCCAAGGAGATTGAACTCAGGGAGAATTTAGCATTCAGAGCTGAACCGAAAGAGATTGTGGATTATAAGGACAAGCAATTAAGAAACAAGACCATTAGATTAGTTAAAGTAATCTGGAAGGGCATAATTCCAGGTGATGCTACGTGGGAGACCGAGGACAGTATGCGACGTGATTATCCTCGTCTTTTTGATTAAGTAAGTAGTTAATAGTTACTAATTTTAAATTTTAAGGAAAAAATTTTTAAAGGAGGGGAGAATTATAACATCCTAATTTAAATGTTAATAGTTAATTTGGGTTAATAGAAATTTTAAAAAATATTTAGAGGTAAGCAAATTAGTAGAAAATGATTATTAAATCTAATTTAGGATATAATTCTAAATTACAATAAAAAATATTAAAAAAATTAATTATTAATTAATTAAAAAAATAAATAAATAAATATTATTAAATTATTATTATTATTTTAAAAAGAAAGAAAGAGAAAAGGTATGGAAAAAAAAAGGGGGAAAGAAGAAGTGAACTTTCGGTGCTCTCCCGGCAATGATTATGTTTATATAATAAAAAAAAGAGAGAGGAAAGAGTAAATAAAAAAATGTGAGACCCACAGTATTTTTTTTTTTAAAACCCATCCCTCCTTCTTCGTTTCTTCATTTCTCCTTCCTTTTTCATTTCTCTTCGTGCGCGAACAGAGGGAGCGACGGTGCGCAAGTTTGCCGGTGCTGGGTTTTAAGGTAAGAGTATTTAATATGATATTTAGGGTGTGATTTCAAGCTTTTCAAGATTAAGTATGTGTTCTAAAAATTTTTCTTAGTGATCCTTCCTCTTTGGTTTCTGAGTTTGTGGTGATAGAAAATTTAAAATTTGGAAGAGGGATGAATTTATGTTGAATAAATATAGTTTTTGAGGTTGTTAGTAGTATAATAAATGTTCTAAAATATAAATTTGTTAATGATCTTTGAATTTGTGGCTTATGGATCAAATTCTAAACTAGATCTAAAAATATATGTTGATTTATTGAGATTTATATGATTATTTGGGATGAGAAATGAATTATTATGGTTATAGGATTATAATTCTAAGCTAGAGACTCAATTTTTAATTTTTGGGTATTTTAGGTGTGAATTTATGAAATAAAAAGAAAATTTTGATAATAGAAATTAGTTTAGAAGTTGATTTTTAGATTATTAATGTTTATTGATAAGTAAAAGAGGAGTTAAAAATTTTACTTAATAGTATTAACTCTAGATTTGTATTAAGATTTAAAATTAGAAATTATGTTATATTTTTAATTCTATTATTAGAATTATTTTATTAGTTTTAAAAATTAAAAATAATATTTATAAATAATATGTTATTTGTAGATTGTATTATTGGTGAAGATTGTGGTGGGAGAGAAATTGTAAGGAATAATTTATTGAAAAAGCCACAAGGTAACCATACTTTTAATTCGTGATTAGTGTTACTTCATGTTAATTGAGTGATTATTGAGAAAATTATGAATTTTTGTAATATTGTATAATTGTGCAATATTATTATGAATTTGTTTGATTATTGTGGGAGGTGTTGAGAGACTTACTATTGTTGTTGTATTTATGTGCCACGTGGTACACCCCTATTGGAGCTCAATAGGTGGCTTGTAAGGGCTCGGGCTAATCTACCTTTGGCCGGGTAATTTAGCACTGAGTGAGGGCTACGGCTCAAGATTAATTAAGGGATATAAGGATGGTTGTTTGTGTGTATTGTAATATTTCTTATATTTGTTAGAATTATATTATTTTTAATTCTCACTTAATAAGCACACACTTAACTGCTTGTATATACTATCATAAATTGGCTATGGTTACTGGGACTTTTGAGTCTCATTATGTGGTTAACAATTTTCAGGAGAAGAGCCACGAGTGATACGTGGAGGAGTCCCAGAGACTTAGTGGCATAGATCCACTGTCTCTTTTGGGTATTTGATTTATGATTTATAATGTGTTATATTGTCAATATTAGTGCTTTTTGTTTATTGACAATTATATGAATGTATAAATGTAATCATGCCTTTCAAACTATTTCTATTTTTGATACACTTTGGATGACTGTAATTTTAATATTTGGTTTACTTTGGATTGGTTAAAATGGCATGATTATGAGGCCAAATAACTGGCTTGTTTTAAAAATTGACTAAATTATTTATTTTACTTGTTGGGAGTATAAGGATGGACAAATGTGATTTAGTTTACTTGTTGGGAGTATAAGGATGGACAAATGTGATTTAGCCTAATGGCATGTGGGAGGTAAAAATTTAGCTAAAATGTTGTATTGCGCGAGTTGAAACCATTATAAAATATTTTTATATTAAAATTATTGATATAAAATATGTTGGGTGGCTGTAACCCAACTATAGTTGAGTTAAATTATTTAAAAAAAAATTTGGTGTGTTACAATAGCCATCAATATCAACATGTTGAGTCCTTCACATTGAAAACAAATGCCTCATGCTTAAATGGAAGAGGAGATGCAACTAGAGGAATTATCAGACAACCGAGTGGAAGGTGAATCCTAAGTGTCTGTTCAAATATAGAGTCACTACCAACAACCATTGCTGAGATCAAAACTATTACCATTAGGCTTCATTATAGCTGAAAGCTTAGAATCGGGAAAATTAATGTTATCTTTGACTGTGTTAATGCTTTAAGTCTGATTTTGAGGGATTTCTAGCTGAATTACCTCTTTAAGGACATTATTCAAGAAGCTAGAATGATTAAAAGTAGAGATTGGATTGTTAACATAGATTTTAAGCCTAGGATTTTTATCAAATAGACTGATGTTCTTGCTAAATTTGCTCAGAACTTAACCTCAAATGAACACTTCTTTAATCATCCTCTTCCTTTTATTCATGAAGACGAGGAAGGAGAGAGAAATGGCCTTATCAAGGTGTTTTGAGTTTATAATATTTTGGTATGAATGAATCATCCTTTCAATTAAAAAAACACTGAAAAATAAAAATTTAAAAATTTAAAACATAAAAAAATATAAAAATTAATAATAAAATACGAGTAAAGTTTAAAATATAAAGTTATGCTTTTTTCAAAAAAGAATCTCTGAAAGCATCAAGTTCTACAGTGTCTTCCGATTTTCCTGCCGAAGGCTTTATGTATTGCTTCTTCGTAGTTTTATGTATAGTTTACGTGAAAGAAAAAGCATCCTGCTCCAGAATCGCGTACAATTTTTTTACTTGAGTAAGCAAAGTATAATTAAATTGGAAGGTGAGGATTAAATGAAAAATTACCTATTCAACTATAGGTTCAAGGTTTAAGAGTATTTAAAATTATAAATTTATTTTTAATATAACATCTTTTTTCAATTTTTAAAAACAATATATTTTAACTCATATTATTAATAAAAATTTATTTTAATTATTCGTTGACTAAAAAATAATAGTAAAAGATTGCAAAACTTATAATAAAAAGACTCAAAATTTATAGGTAAGAATACAAAAAAAAAACAATAAAATTTTCTTATTTTTTTCTGTAATTTTTATTTTTAAAATTATTTTTTAATTAATTAATAATTAAAATTATTTTTTATTAATAATAAGAGTCAGATTATATCATTTTTAAAAATTTAAAAAAAATATTATATTAAAAATAAATTTAGAATCATAGATATTTCTGTTTTTTCCCCCCAAAATCATGGACGTTTCTCAATTTATAAGTTAGAAGTAAAAAAACATAATAAAAAAAAATCAAAGCATCATTTTTTTTCTTCTTGATGGATCAAAGCATCAAATTCTGTCGTCCTAGTACCTGTCATGGGCGTTTATATAACGCATCTTCGTAGGTTTAAGGGACAGCAATTGAACTAGTTATTATTCTTTGCCCTTCACCATCAACAATGGCGCCGATTGACCCTCACTCGTTCACTGACTCCACTCAACCATCCACTTCTCGCATTTCACTTTCTCTCTACTTCGACTTTTCGTCCTCCATAATCCATGCCTCTGCTCTGATTTCCCTCACAAACCCTCACTCCGGCCCTTTCTTTCTCGACACTCGTTCTCTCACAATCGACTCCATTATCGACCCGCAATCCAAAACTCCGATTCCATTTTCACTTGCCGACAACGACCCTATCAAAGGTCGTCAACTCTCTGTTTCTCTTTCGAACCATTCCTCATTTCTGGTAATATACACTACCTCACCTTCTTCTTCGGCCTTGCAATGGCTTAATCCCCTCCAAACGTTTAATAAAACACACCCTTTTGTGTATACACAATGCCAAGCCATTCACGCACGCGCGGTGCTCCCATGTCAGGACACTCCTGCTGTTCGGATACGTTACTCCGCTCGCCTGAACATCCCCGATCAGTTATCGGCGGTGATGGCTGCCCGGCACGTGGAACGACGTCGTCCAGCTGACAACGAAGCTGAAGAACTGGGTTGCGGGAATTCATTGTGGTGTGCTGAAGGGAGAGTGGTGGAGGAGTTTGTCATGGAGCAGCCAGTGCCGCCATACCTTTTTGCATTTGCTATTGGGGAAATTGGGAGCCGGGATGTGGGGCCCAGGTCTAGGGTTTATACCGAGGCGGCGCCGGAGCTTTTGGACGCCGCGGCGAGGGAGTTTGCAGGGACAGAAGATATGATAAGGCAAGGAGAGAAGTTGTTCGCAGAGTATGAATGGGAGAGGTTCGATTTGTTGGTATTGCCACCGAGTTTTCCGTACGGAGGTATGGAGAATCCAAGGATGGTGTTCTTGACACCAACTGTGATCAAGGGGGATGCCAGTGGAGCACAGGTGGTGGCTCATGAACTTGCTCACAGTTGGACAGGGAATTTGATCACTAACAAGACCAATGAGCATTTTTGGTTGAATGAGGTATAGACACGATCATCTGATTGATTACTTTACTTTGATTAGCATCTAATACTAATTAGAGTGCATTACTATTTACTTGATGTGATCCTTTGTGGATTCCCTTCTTATCTTAAAGTTATGCTTATTTTCTTGAAAGCTAATGAGATTCTGCCTTAGTGGTGTTAGGTTGGCCAACTGTGTTCAACTAATCTCAATATAATAAACTAGTGGACTGATATGGTGTGTTTGTCAATCAAAATGTCAGTTGGAACTGAGAGTGGATGTGCTAAACAGAGGAAAATGATTTTTAGGGACCGACTTTGCTTTATACTTATAGTGATATATATATATATATATATTCATAGCAAAACACCAAACAGTTCCCTGCAAATATAAGTATAGATAATTTATTTTTTTACGAATTATATTTCTTATGTTTTCCTACAGCTTTTATCATTCATTGGAATTCGTGGTACCTATGGTTAATTGAAAATCATGAAGGCGTGAGATAAAACAAAAATAATTTCTTTCATTGATATGTTACGTCTTAATTTGCATTCTTCCTTTAGCTTGTTTTCTGTTTGTATTATAGCCAGAGTTGGCTTCTAGTTCTAGGTATTATTAGTCTTTGATATTTATTACATTGTTCAAGTGAATAGAGAGTCATCTTTTCTTGCGTCGTGTCAGGATTTGTTTCAGAATTAACAGTTTTTTTTTTTGTAAAAATAAATCTGTAATGATGAGATTATTTTTAATTTGGTTTTAGGGCTTCACAACGTATGCAGAGAGGAGAATTGTGGAGGTTGTGCAAGGGGAAAAAAGAGCTGCATTGAACATTGGAATTGGTTGGAGGGGTTTAAACGACGAAGTTGAGAGGTTCAAAGATAATATGGAGTTTACTAAGCTTATAAATTGCCAGGAAGGGATCGATCCAGATGATGTGTATTCTCAGGTTCCATATGAAAAGGGTTTCCAGTTCTTATTGCGTATTGAACGCCAGGTATTTTTCTCTAATACTATCTTGAATGCTTACCCTTGGAAACATATTCCTGAAATTTTATGTTTACAGGATATTTGTACATCTAATTTATTCTTTTGTTAAACTTTTCCCTTACTTTATACCTGCATGTCTTTTGTTCTTGATTCAAATTTGCAAAACATATGCATGTTTCTATCATTTACTAAGTCCTCTTAGAAGTTTGGCTCTCCAGGACTAGTTTAAATACCAGAAAGATTGTCTTTCTACATTGTAATCTAATTAGTTGTTTTTCTCCTGGAACGTACAGGTTGGAAGGCCTACATTTGATCAGTTCCTGAAGAAATATATTGCTACATTCAAATTCAAATCAATTGACACTGAAACGTTCATCGACTTTCTCAAAGCTAACATCCCTGGAATAGAGAAGCAGATAGACTTAAAATTGTGGACTGAAGGTACTGGCATCCCTCCAGATGCTTATGAACCTGATTCCAGTGTCTATAAAATGATTGTATCCCTGGCAAATGAGTTTGTAAACGGAAGGATTCCAAGGGAGGATGAAGTTGCTGATTGGCAAGGTCAGGAATGGGAGCTGTACTTGGAAAATTTGCCAAAATCCATTGAAGCTTCTCAGGTTGTATTTCTTCTCATTTGTTAATTCTCCCCCTATCCTGTGAGCTTTATTGGATTGAATTGTGCATTGAGACTTTGTATATTTACAATATCTGCCTTCTCTGGATAAACTGCTCATGCTGTGATTGATTGAGTTGATCCTCTATCTAACTATTTCAGGTAAAGAGTTGTCATGTGTTTTCTTTCTGTCTTCCCGTGCCTCCCTTACCTTCTTCACTTCGGCTGAGGCTGTGGGGATAGGGTGTTAGGAGACTGATATTTCCTTTTAACTGATACTTATATATATATATATATTGAAGATTGGGGACAGGGTGTTAGGAGACTGATATTTCCTTTTAACTGATACTTATATATATATATATATATATATATATTGAAGATTGGGGATAGGGTGTTAGGAGACTGATATTTCCTTTTAACTGATACTTATATATATATATATATATATTGAAGATAATGAATCCTTAAGATAGTAAATTCCTATTATATTGGTTTTGACATGCGAACAAATGATTTGAACCTCCTTTTCCTTGGCCTGTGTTTGGCTTGGTTTGGTGACGCGGTTTGGCACCTTTGGTTTGAATACCCTTAGTTGTAGTGATTTGAAACGATGTAAAATCGCCAGGCAAGTTAATTTCATATTAAATGTTACTTGTGGTATATTAATGGTCGTCTTTGTTTGAATATCACAAAATTCTTTGTAAATTGATGAAGTTGGTTATGGCAACAAAAACAATTTGGTTTTGAAAATTTTAGTTAAGAGTGAAGGACTGACAGGGAGGGCATTGCCTTAAGGAATATGGAACTTCTCTTATAACTCTACATGCCTAGAGGATATCTTAGGTTGGTCGCAGGCTCATTCTGCTAGAGGCCTGCTGAGTACGTCAGTCACAAGTTTCAAATTTAGTGCTTTTGTAAGTATAAGGAGGGGATTGAATGATAAAATATTGCATGAGGGATTAGATTGTTAGTTTACTTTTTTTTAATTGAGTATAAGGAGTAGACTTTGCTGACAGTAGAGAATATATCTCTTCTAACATACTGAGAGCAATAGGGAAACCTCTTCCAAATAAATTAAACTATACAGCTCTTTTTCCCTTTCCAAGTTACGTATGAGGCCACAAGACCTTGGGAGTAAAAAGTCTAGAAGGTGTAGGATTTGCATTGAATTTTGAAATCAAGTTCTTTTGAGACACCATTTCATTAACCTTTACATGTTTTCTCATGTATTGTAAAGAGTCTGATAAATAAATTGCGTTGTTCATGACTTGTAAATAATGTGGCTATTATGTTGCATCAGTTGTTGCTAATCCTTCTATATCTAATGTTCCAAATCTAGTTATTAAGAGTGAACAGAACATCTCTCTTATATAGGACTAATATCAATAATCAATTCCGTTAGTCACGTTGAATTTTGAAATCGAATTATTTGGAGACCATTTCGTTAAACTAGACATGTTTTTCCATGTATATTATATGATGTCTGATAAATTATTCACATTGTTCTTGGCTTGTAAATGATGTGGCTATTTTATTACATATGTTGATATGTTGACACTAATCCTTATATATATAATGTACTCCCTCTATTTTTATTTGTAGAAGAAAAAACTGTATTACAGAGTTTAAGAAAATCGGTTAACTATATTAATTGTGTTTGAAAATAAAACAATTAGACTGCAATACATTTTATTAGTTGTGTTAATCAAGCATTCATTAATTATTTTTTATGATTATGAATATAAAATTATGAAGGGTAATTCAGGAAGTTTGCAATAAATGCCTATTAGAAAATATGATTTTGCTTATATAAAAAAAATTAAAAATGATAGTTTCTCTTACAAATAGAAACGAAAGGTGTACCAATTAAGAGTGAATTTGTACTCTTTTAGAATTCAAGCCACTTTGGGAATTGAACCCTCAACTTCTTGCTTATATAGAGCTAATATCAGTCATCAATTGTGTTAGTTGAATACCCTATCAGAGCTCACGCATTTATATAAATCTATGCCCTTCATTGTTATGTAAAGTAAACATGGTCTTTGTAGATGGAAACAGTGGACAAGTAAAATGATAACAGTTGTATGCAAGATTGGAAGGTTTCTTATTATCACATGTTTAGGGAAGCAAATACCTATGCAGATTGGCTAGGAAGTAATGCAATACACTCTAGTCACCAGCAACACATTGTTATGAAACCATCCCTGAATGTTTAGTCATTATGGGCTATGGATTTAGATTCAGTTCCTTTCGTAGTTAAAAAAAAAAAAAAAATAACACTTGTATAACTTTACTTTTTGCAGCTTGTCGCCCTGGATTCGCGCTACAGGATATCAGAATCGAAGGATTACGAGGTGAAGGTGGCATTCCTTCAACGCGCTCTTGCAATTGGGTGCAGAGATTACTATAATGAAGTGGAGAAGACATTGAAAGAAATTGGAAGGATGAAGTATCTGCGTCCTCTTTACACTGCTCTGGTTCAAGGCAGTGGAAAGGAAGAGGATAAAGTTTTTGCCAAACGGCTCTTCTCAGAGGCCCGTGAGTTGTATCATCCCATTGCTCAGGGTGTTGTTGAGTCTATATTGGCCAAGCATCTGTAGAAGCAACTTTCAAGATTTTATAATCTCTTCTTCATGAGCCAACACGTCAAAGTCTATCTCTGATCTGCTGATTGAGACATGTGTTCTCGTGTATGTGTAATGTGTTCGTATTCTCGTTCTAGGTAACTGTTAAAACACTTGAATCTACTTTCATGGAATAAATCGTCTCAATACTACAGAGATGTTAGGTGGTTAGTGATAAATGGGGCAAGCTTGGCCTACGACATGCCTTGTCTGTAGTTATAAAATGTGCAAGTACTGTGTTATAAAATAAAACTATAAATTTTAAGATAATTATATACATTATATAAATATTGCATCTCATAAATTGTTTTTTTAACTTATAAAGTATATGTTAATAATTTTAAATTATATTTTCGAAGACCTGCCATAACATTTTTGTTAAATTGAAAGAAAATTACATTTAATATAATAAATAAGAAAAAAAAAATCTAAACTCATCCAATAAATTTAATTTTATAAAATATTACCTCAAAATTAAAAATCTATTAAATTAATTATGATTGGCCTGACTACGAAAAATCTTATGACAATAAACACCTGAAAACCATAACTAGTTTCTTTCCTTCAGTAAAATCACATCAAATAGAATGGACATGTAATTTCACCCAAAAAAAAAAAAGAATGGACATGTAAAATGTCTTCCATAATAGACGTCCTGCTTGAAGGAGAGAATTGCCGCAATACCGAAAGGTTTTCTACTAAATCGGTGCCAAAAAATCAGAAGATCGAGATTGACAACAATCATATATCATAAATACTTGGATTAAGGTACAAAAATACCTTGAAACTTTTTTCCGAAAGACTGCTAGCATCTTTAAGTCAATAATAATGCATTAATATCCATAAAGACATGAAAACTGGATAATTTTCTCCAATCCGTTAATCTGGCGTGACGTTTACTATTATGGTTGAAAGAAAATGTGCGACTCAACTTATCCTTGCTAGTAATGAGGATGAGTCATTTGTTCTCCTCAGAAGACAAAGGTGTACATGAAATACCTTAGATATCAACAAAGTTCAGACTTACCTTTAGTTTTACCCATGAACAAGTCCAGACATCTGTCCGTGAGCATGCCTAGGCTTGTGCGTTTAACAAGAAGCAAATACAGATTAATTTGGACTTGCTCGTGAGCAACATAAACTACCCCAAGGTGAGAGGGACAAATCGAATTAGTTTGGATTAAATATATGTGAATTGTGGTAGCAAGACCACCATATCACTTACAATTGCATATTTCTGTTGTTAGCAAATGATTATACTTGCAATGAGACGACTTAAACTTATAGCATGGCCTAGGAAACCTATCATGTGAAATGTCTCAAACTTCAAGTTTGATCATCATTTACTTTAGGAAAACTATCTCCTTGCCAGTCTCTCAAGACAAGACTAACGGATGTTCGGTGGTAAAGACTATCATCATTTACAGCAAATGAACTTGGTAAAGACTAACAGATGCGATGATCAAACTCTCACCTCAGTCAATTATGAAGTTTTCGTATTACAAGTTATTAGAGCCTCACAGTCCTAACAAATAGAGAAGTTGAGATAACTTTCATTCTTTGTCACCCTCCAATACACAGCCCAAAATTCATATTTAGCCATGCAACAGAAAAACTCAGCATTAATCCCTGAAAACAGTCAAAACCTTAACAAATCAATTGTTTTCTCACTTGGTGAAAACCATAGAATGGAAATCCAGATCAACCTGTCCGGTTGAACCAGTGTTTGACTAGTTTCATAACCGGCCCTGTTTTTAAGTAACTTGGCGGAAACAGTTGTAATTATAAAACCACACACCACTCAGTTATCAAGTGAACAATATCACTTTTGGTAAACTAGAGAACTATTTTTTTTAAAGAGAAATAGAAAGTTTATCACAAAGCAAATTACCAACTTGTTAAATCGCATGATTAACTGACTGGCAATGAATAAGTTTTACAGAGTTCCTAATCGAAACCTGAATTTTGAACAGTTATACACTTCTCACTCCCTGGTCCCCCCCCCCTCTTGTACACCTCAATTCTACAATTTCTGAGATAAATAAAACACATCAATCTACAAAATATAACTTGAAAACACAAATGAACAAAAGGGTATCGAAATTACACTTACAATTACATGAATTCCCATTACTGCGCACCACCTTCTTCTTCCAGCTTCTTCACATAGGCTTTCAAAACCATTACAATCTCTCTAGCCGGCGCTTGCAGCGTGCTCACCAAAGCCGACGCTGGACTTTGCAACGAACCCAACAACTTGGCATAAATCTCAGCACGCGAGGGCAAGGATTCCAGTTTCTTGAACTCATCGGGACCATAAAACTTCCCTTCGAACACTGCTCCAGTGAAATCATTATCTTCAAGCTTCTTCTCCCTCTGGAAATCCCTGTAGGGTTTAATCGCGGACGGAATTTCCTCAGTATGAACAAAAAGCCAGACATTCATACCCTTCATACACGGCTTCAACGATTCCCACTGGGTACCCTCCACAGCCTTGTAAACCAAAGTGTTTTTCGCCACAACTAGTTTCGAGGTCTCGGGAAGGCTTCTGCGAAGCTCTTGGAATTGCTTCACCGTTAAGCCTTTGTAATTGATTCCGGCGAGGAGATAACAGTTTTCGAGCTGCTTTTTCACCGTTTCAACGGTTTCTTCCTTCTTGGTGCGAGAAATTGCGGCATTGATTGAAGGCAAATGGCGGCGAGATTTGTAGGAGAGTCTAGGTTTCAAGGATAGAAATGGGTTGACGGGTCGGGTTAGGATTTGAGAAGATGGGGCTTTGGAGGATGGGAAGGTGAGGAGTGTAGTTTCCATGGCGATAAAAGGGAAAAGAACAGAAGGGAAGAGAAGAAGCCAAAGAGGCCAAAAGGCTAATCTTATCGAAATGTCAAGAGCGTACGGTACGACATGAGTGTTCAGATTGTAGACTCAACAATGACATAAATTAAAAGAAGTTACTCATGCGAGGCATTTTTAACACCCATTCGTTAAAAAACTTACCTATTTTTAAATTAATTTTATTTTTTATATTTATTTTTATTAAATACTTCATCATAAATATAAAATCATTATTAATAAAAATATTTTTTAAAAAAATAATAATTATACTTTAAAAAATTAAAAATATTTTATATTTTTTAATATTTAATTTTTTAAAAAATACTTTATATATTTAAACAAAGAGAGTATGTGTTTTTTTAAAAAAAATAGTTTTGTTTAAAACTTTTGAATTGTACAGTTATTTTAAAGAATGATATGATGATTTATAATTGTTAAAAAATTATAATACATAATTCTAAGTTAATATTCTCATCCTAAAGATATCACCTCTTAAGATAATTTTAATTTTTAAATAGAAATTATACATTTTTATTAATTAGATTAAAAAAATAATTTTCGCGCATGTAGTCCATTTAATAGAATCAAACAAAGATAATAACCCAATATATCAAATATTTTGCAATGTAGCCGGATTAAAATTTAAGTTAAATTAAAATAATAAAAACACTTATTCTTCTCAAATTTAAAATCCTATTCTCATTCTCAAATTTAAAATATATTAGACCTACTAAACTAACGATAAAGTATTCAAATATTGATGTAATATATAACTATAAATTGGCCATAATTATAATCATTTAGTCATAGGAGTTTTGCTATATTGTTATATAAGTTTTTTTAATTTGTTTTGGAAATAAAAAGGGAAAAGCACACTCCAACTTATTATAAATGGGCTATATTTTAAAATTTTCAAAAACTTCTTCCATAATTTTTAGTTAATATATTTTTTATGGTCATTGGGTTAATTTACTCAAAAAAAGTCATGCATAGTAAAATTAAATAAACCTAATTACCTTGAAATTAAATTATTTGTTTTAACCTTACATAGTTTTATTTAAATATATACTCCCTCTGTTTAAAAATATAATATATTTTAACTGAATTTTACCCCCTAATAAAATAATTATTTACTTTCAAATTAACTTAATCTTTTCATATTTATCTCTATTAAATATCCTATAATAAATATAAATTTATTATCAATAGGGACACTTTTAAAAAAAAGATAATGATTACACCTCAAAAGACTAAAAATGTCTTATATTTTTTAACATTCAACTTTTTAAAAAATATCTTATATTTTTAAATGGAGAGAGTAATACATAATCTTGTCGTGTCTCATTTAAGTGTTTGCATGATCATCATGTATGAGATAATGGTGCTTCAAGGGCTTGGCTTTTTTTATTTTATTGTTTCAAAAATATAAAATATTTTTAAATAAATTTCACCCTTCAATAAAAATAATTAATTATCCTCAAATTAATATTATCTTTATTTATTTATTCTTATTTAATAGGATAATTCATTGTAAAATAAATATAAATTAATTTTTTATTTTAAGCAATTTTGGAAAAAACACATTGATTGAACTTAAATGCTAAAAATGTCTTATATTTTTAAATATTTAAATTTTAAAAAAAATATTTTACATTTTTAAAGGTCTTCAAATCATTCATTTGAAAAAATGGAAACCCTGCTTATTGGATGACCATGATACTTTCCAAAAATCAAAATTTTTGATTAATGGAGGAACAATAACACCATTTTTGTTCAATAAGATACCAAAGTGGATGATTGACTCATTCCATACTAGAAAGAATCGCAAGAAATCTTTTGATAACATGGATTCCTATTTCTCAATGGTATCTTGCAATCAAGACAATTGGCTGAATCCCACGAAACCATTTCATAGAAGTTCATTGATATCCTCTTTTTCTAAAGCAAATCGACTTCGATTCTCGAATAATCGATATCACTTCTGCTTCCATTGTAACAAAAGATTCCCTTTTATGTGGAAAAGGCCTATATCAATAATTATGCTTTTATGTATGGATAATTCCTCAATATCTTGTTCATTCGCAACAAAATATTTTCTTTATACGGTAGTAAAAAAACATGCTTTTTTGGAGAGAGATAATATTTCACCAATCGAGCCATAGGTATCTAGCGTATTCATACCTAACAATTTTTCGCAAAGTGGTGACGAAAGATATAATGTGTACAAATCTTTCTATTTTTCAATCCGATACTATCCATTCGTTCGTAGAGCTATTTACTCAATCATAGACATTTCTGAAACACCTCTAACAAAGGGACAAATAGTCAATTTTGGAAGAACTTATTGTCAACCTCTTTCAGATATGAATCTATCTGATTCAGAAGGGAAGAACTTGTATCAGTATCTCAATTTTAATTCAAACATGGGTTTGATTCACACTTCATATTCTAAGAAATATTTACCATTCGAAAAGAGAAAAAATGGAGTCTTTGTCTAAAAAAATGCCTTGAGAAAGGCAGATGTATAGAACCTTTCAATGAGATAGTGCTTTTTCAACTCTCTCAAAATGGAATCAATTCCAAACATATATACCATGGTTCCTTACTTTGACAGGGTATAAATATCTAAATTCTCTATTTTTAGATACTTTTTCAAACCTATTGCCGATACTAAGTAGCAGCTAAAAATTTGTATCTATTTTTCATGATATTATGCAGGGATCAAATATATCATGGCGAATTCTTTAGAAAAAATTACGTCTTCCATAATGGAATCTGATAAGTGAGATTTCGAGTAAGTGTTTACATAATCTTCTTCTGTCCGAAGAAATTATTCATCGAAATAATGAGTCACCATTGATATCAACACATCTGAGATCGCTAAATGTTTGGGAGTTCCTCTATTCAATCCTTTTCCTTCTTCTTGTTGCTGGATATCTCATTCGTACACATCTTCTGTTTGTTTCTTGAGCCTGTAGTGAGTCACAGACAAAGTTCGAAAAGATCAAATCTTTGATGGTTCCATCATACATGATTGAGTTGCAAAAACTTCTGGACAGGTATCCTACATCTGAATTGAATTCTTTCTAGTTAAAGAATATCTTTTTGGTTGCTCTAAAACAATTAGGAGATTTTCTAGAAAAAATATGCGGTTCTGTTTCTGTCGGCAACATGCTATATAGTGGTCCTGCTTATGGGGTCAAATCAATACGTTCTAAGAAGAAATATTTGAATCTTATCAATCTCATAAGTATCATACCAAATCCTATTAATTAAATCACTTTTTTGAAAAATATGAGACATCTAAGTCATACAAGTAAAGCGATCTATTCCTTGATAAGAAAAAGAAAAAACATGAATGGTGATTGGATTGATGATAAAATAGAATCTTGGGTCTTGAACAGTGATTCGATTGATGATAAAGAAAGAGAATTCTTGGTTCAGTTATCTACTTTAATGATAGAAAAAAGGATTGATCAAATTCTATTGAATCTGACTCATAGTGGTCATTTATCAAAGAGTGACTCTGGTTATCAAATGATTGAACAACCAGGAGAAATTTACTTATGATACTTAGTTGACATTTATAAAAAGTATCTAATAAATTATGAGTTCAATACATCCTGTTTAGCAAAAAGACGGATATTCCTTGCTTATTATCAGACAATCACTTATTCACAAACCCCGTGTGGGGTTAATAGTTTACATTTCCCATCTCATGGAAAACCCTTTTCGCTTCGCTTAGCCCTATCCCACCTAAAGGTATTTTAGTGATAGGTTCTATAGGAACTAGACGATCCTATTTGGTTAAATACCTAGCGACAAACTCTTATATTCCTTTCATTATAGTATTTCTGAACAAGTTCATGGATAACAAGCTTAAGGGTTTTCTTATTGACGATATTGATGATAGTGACGATATTGATAATAATGACGATATTGACCTTGACCTTGATACGGAGCTAGAGCATCTAACTATGATGAATGCGCTAACTATGGATATGATGCCAAAAAAAAGACCAATTTTATATCTATATCACCCTTCAATTCGAATTAGCAAAAGCAATGTCTCCTTGCATAATATGGATCCCAAACATTTATGATCTAGATGTGAATGAATCAAATTACTTATCCTTCGGTCTATTAGTGAATTATCTCTCCAGGGATTGTAAAAGATGTTCCACTAGAAATATTCTTGCTATTGCTTCGACTTATATTCCCCAAAAAGTAGATCTCACTCTAATAGCTCTAAATGAATTAAATACATGCATTAAGATACGAAGGCTTCTTATTCCACAACAATGAAAGCACTTTTTCACTCTTTCATATACTAGGGGATTTCACTTAGAAAAGAAAATGTTCCATACTAATGGATTTAGGTTTATAACTATGGGTTCTAATGTACAAGATCTTGTAGCACTTACCAATGAGACCCTATTGATTAATATTATACAAAAAAAAATCAATTATAGACACTAGATTGATTCGGCAGAACAACTCAAAAGATAAAGAAGTATTGGTAATTTCTTCATGCTTGTTCCAAGTTCGAAGTACCATTTATACAAATAAGAATCCCCCTCGTTACATGATTTCTTCTTCACATAGATAGATATAGGATCTATGGAGCAATTACTTAGAACTACAATTTGTGAAATAGCCCTTCTTATTTGATAGAAAAGGATCCCATGATCCTGAACTGATCTTAGCTGGGATTGCAAATTCCAAGTTTGTCTATAAAGAGCGGATCTAATTAGATTATATTCATCTTTACTTTTATATCCTTATTAAATACTAGAAGAAATTATTTAAAATAATTATTTTTATTCTTATTAGAGGTAGAGGGAGAAACTTATTAAATTTTAAAATAGAATTAATAAAGCTTAAGGTTTTTATTTGTTTTAATTAAATATATTGAAAGTGACTTATAAATAGGATCAAAAAAAGTATGAGCTCATTTAGATTTTAGTTGGGTATAGTTAATTATAAAAATAATTGATTTTGATTATAATTGATTATGTTATAATATAATCTGTTTGAATATTATTTTTTTAAAATTAATATATTTATTTTCCATTACTTTCCCTTCACTTGTTATGTCAACCTTTGAATCAATTTTAAAATTGTTAAGGTTTAACATTTTATAAAATTCATTTTTTTAATTACAATTCTGAATTTTTTTTAATGAAAGGACAATTATATTAACAACAGTAAAAGATAATACAGTGATTAAAGTAATAATATTTGACGTGTTGCCAAAAATTGCTACATATTAAGTCTTCATCGTACTTGAAAAAAGAAACACGGGAAAAATGGAAAGCAGGGGGGATATGTCTTCAGCTACAACTGAGGAACCGCGATTGGGGAGATTGAGAGAACACATGCTCCACAAACACCATCGATCTCAACTCGAGTTAGTTAACTATGTTTGGTTGGATGCCAAGACGAAGAAAACTCTGAATATTGAATCGTAATTCAAATCAACTTTATTATATTTTAAATTTATTTTTTTATATTTCCACAATAATTTTATGAAATACTAAATTATAACTATTCAAAATTTGATTGAAGGGTTGAGAGTATGGTAGCCCAAAAGACTAATAAATAAGGACTTCATCTTAACTCAAAGTTTGGTTTTTTCTATAAAATTAATTGGATTAGGCAACTTTTAATCTAGTGCTATTTAGACATAACCTAAATTTAAACAGGAACGAAGTTGGTCTATAAAATTAACAGACTAATCCAATAGTTTAGTATCTTTCTTTATTTTTTTTTCTATGAAAGGCAATAATTTATTTTAATATGATAAACTCAATTAATGTAATAAAAATATTTAAAATCATATAAAATTTATCACAAAATATTAAAAATTAATCATAATAAATTCATAATAATATTTAACAAATTTCAACATGTCTAAATTACATTAAAGTAACAATTTAATAGCAAACTTTAAGAGAAGAGAAGTAGGGAATTAGGAAATAAAGTGAGATACTATGTTTAACAATCAGTTTTAATCTTCACATTTAAACTATATAAAAAAAATAATTATAATGATATTTAAATAATTTTATAGAATTAGATTAAACCAAAAAGTTTAAAAAGCTTGATTCCCTGTCTAGCCAAACACAAAGATAAAACCTAATCTTGTTGGTTCTTTCAATCCTTCATGTCAATTTTTTTACAGGATTAGATTGGGCTGAATTTGTTAAGGTTGGATTAGGCCTGGATCATTGGATTTTTTCATAGCCCTAGTCAACTTGAGAGTACAAGTGGAGAAGCATCGAAGAGGACATAAATGGAGATATGCAACCTCCTCCGGATGCAATAACTCTGTGAACCACCCGATTAATCCAACCGCCCACATTCTTTCACTGCTCCGGCTTCCCGCCGTCATATGTAGTGGGCCCCTCTTTTTCCCCACTCAACTAGTTTTCAAAATCTGCTGATGCAGTTTGCCTCGCAAATGGACGACGCAATGGAAGATCATGTGAAGATTGTTAAGATATCAGAGCTTGTGGAAGGTGCACGGCCTCTCACTTCCACAGCGTCTCTCAACGTACGCTCGTCCAGCCGTTCGCTCTGTCATAACACTAGTTCTTCTTCCATTTCAAGCCCTAATACTGTGCCTCGAGTCCTCACTGCACTGAAACATCCCACCATTGTGGTCGGAACGCTTACACTTCCAAGCCTCAATTCTGGCTCATCTTCTGGCTGCCCTTGCTTCCAGTTTTCCGATGGCACTTGTACGGTTTGTTGCGACGTCCTTGGATTGGACGCGTATGTTATCGGGAAAGAAATTCGTGTTTATGCTTGGAATTTCATTTCTTGTAAACGTGGCAAGGGTTTCTTGGAGATTATCAAATGGGGGTTTTTGGATTCCAGTAACGACTTGAGAAAACAGCAGCTTGACCAGTCAAACCATTTGGATTCGTATCCCTTGGTACCTAGTCGTTTCAGCGGTCAAAGTGTTAGTTTTTCATCTGGGCATCGCGTCTATGGGGTACTTGAGTCAGTTCGCCCTTTAACTGTGGTCCCCTGTACGATGCTTGCGAGCGGTTCCAAAAGGCCCGAGGATTGGAATTCGTCTTCTTCACGAAACTTAATGGGGTTTTTGGTGGAAGTAATTTGTTGCCAGTGCAGACTATGTAGTTCTAAAACATTGCCTGATTTGAGTTGTTTAATGGCAGATCGTAATACTCATTCTTTTACCAAATTAGTGGATATATATTTTGTTGACCATGCATCATCTTGGCATCCTGTAATTACTAAGCTTAGTGGTAACTGCATTGTCATTTCGGGTTTGAAGAGAAAGTTGGTTTTCATGGGAAAGGAGGAGTCATGTATAATGTATGTGACTACCAATGAGTCTGCCCTACATGTTCGTCCGTATTTCAAGCAATGGCTACCATGTTTTAACATGGATACAAAGGGGAAGAGAAAATTCAGTACATATACTGGTATACTTAGAGGTGTTTACATGCAAGGGATGGTTGTGGAGTTGGACCATGATGTTTGGCTTCTTTTAACAGACCAAAAACTTACTCTGCCACACAGTCTTAGAGTTGGTGCCATTGTAAGTAAAGTGAATCTGATATTCTTTTGACTTGATATTTATTGAGATGTAGAATAATGTACATAACTCCATGGCAAACAGGACGCTTCTATATGAAACAATGCTTTATTATGCAGATATCTGTCAGAAATGTCCATTTTGTGGATCCAAAGTTTCCATGGACAAAAATTCTTATTCTTGGGGCCTGCTTGAAGAGTAGCATTGTGGTGGAATCCTTCTCCCCTTTTCAAACTGAGTATGTACTACTCCAATTATTCTGTTCATTATTATTCAGGTTCCAGTCACACGAATGCTTGTAATATGATGCTCTCATCTGTGGCTCATGTAGTTGCTGTTGTTTCATTACATTATCATTTTCCCTATTTTTATTTGGAAAATTGTTTCAATGCGTAAAATGACTTTTTTCTGTCGGCATCATAATGATATTTTGCATCTTTTTTGTTCTTAATGCTAATTGTTCCTCGAATTCTAATTTATTTGGTATTCCTTGTTGTCCCTACATGCCCTATGCAGATGTAGTTAGTCATTATGTATCTTAGTTTTTATTGATAATTATTGTCTGGGAATTATGGTTTGTAATTGGAGTTATTAGGATTTGATTAAAGATTTGAATAAATTCTTTTGTGCCTCGAGTAATTTGGGCTCATATTATAATTTCCAAGTTGAATTTGGGTTTTGTTGCCTCAGATGCTCTTGTGCCTAAATGCTTTTGATGTTAAGTCTTGAGAATCTTGTGTCTTTTCCTTTTCATTCCTTCTTATTTTACATCAGTGATGACAGTTCAATTCAGCCTTGCAGGTGTCATATTATTCCACAATCATCAAGCATGCTGGGGAAATTCATTGAGTCATTACCATTTGCTGCAAGATTATGGTACTAAATAGTTTAATCGGCTTCATAGTCACTAGTTGGAAATTCAAATTTTGTTTTGCGTTGATATTTTTTTCTGCTGGCTGGTAGGGTATTACTTCTTGTCTCAAGCTTACGTAAGAAGTTTGGTGGGGTCTTATCCAACATGGATCTTCTGGGTTCAAATCATGTAACTTACTTCCTTTGGTTATAAGTAGTTTCCTATTGTACTTGAAGCTTTACCTTCCATTTCAAATCTGATGAACTGTTGTTCCAAGGTGTTTCCAGAGAGAGGGGCTAGCTCAGATGTTTGCTCAATTACAGTTACCTTCATCGGTATTTCAGACACAGGTATATCAACAATTGACTAAAAACTTGTTCTTTGAATCAAAATTTTCTTCATTAGGCTGTGATGTTACTTGAAATTTTCTTGTTAGCGTGGTGCTTTCACTGGGCTGTGTGGACATGACTCATTTGGGTGTGGAAGAGAGCTACATTGTGGTTCACTGAAACTGGTATTTACTATTTCACTGATGGTTACCTTTGATCAGCTTTTACTACTTTATTAAGTTTGTATATGTTTGCTAATGTATTTGTTGAAAACTCATGTGTCATTGACAATTAAAAGTAAAAATTACTATGATCATGTTATTGCAGGTAATTCCTATGTCTATTTTCGCCTGTCACTGTAAAGCCACCATAATGAGAATGCTGAGGTCAGGAAATGACTGTAAATTGCTGAAGGTGGACAACCATTTGAGGCTTTTATCTGGTGAAGTGAGTTTTCGTGGCCATTCAGTTAGAAGGATCATTTCTAGTGAAGATGTTGGCTGTCTTTTGCTTGGGTACTTAAAGGTTATGTATCCTCATTTGATTGTTTGTGTATGTGCTACTAAGATTTGTTATGCCTGTATTAGATCTGTCTTTGTTGCATGTATCTGATATGCAATTGCTTTAGTTCTTTGAGCATGGGGGATGGTACCATTTTATGTTCTGCAACTTTGATTTTGTTGGCATCTCTTCTATCAGCAGAAGTTCCCATACATGATCTTGTTTTGAATATTCAGATTGCTCCATCAACTGGAAGACTGCAGTTGGTTGATGCTACTGGCAGCATTGATGTCCTAATACCTGATCTTCCATTAACATGGGATCCTAGCGAATTATATGAGGTCACCATGGTCTTCTTGTTGTGAATTCTTTCCTTCAATATTATCCTCTTTCAAACTTATGAGTTATAACATTGATATGACATTCTCTATTCTCCACCACCTTTTTCAAGCCTTTGTGTGACATTAATGTTTTGGATATATAGGTGATGGACTATAACATTATAATGGATGGCATACCGGAACTCGTGGATCACTTGGAATTTTATGACACCAAGACATTATCATGTGGAGCCATCTTTAATTGCAAGTTCACACAAGCAACAAAAGATCTAAGCATATTAATCCATGCTCACTTTCTCTGGAAGAATGTAAAGTGCAGGAATTTCCCCCTGTATTTTTATCCAAGCATGAAAAATGAATCTAAGATACTTGAACCAGGAAACTACCATTTACTAAGAGTATCTCACAAATTTCCTCAGCTACAGAAGGTATATTTACACTACAAAATGTAATTACACTCTATGCTGCTGCTAATTATTTTCATTTGACAAGTTTGAAGATCAAACTCAATAATAGAGAAGCTCAGGGATGAAAACGTTTTAAGATCAGTTTCTATAATTGGTAAAGTCTATGCCCATGTTTAAGCTGGTGTTCATTTTAATGAAGTTTCAGAAAAAATCATATGGTTCTTTTCCTCATTGTGGATTTAGTAACTGGTGAAGGAGAACAAAATTTGTCATTCTATCGAAAAATACGTGATAAGGAGGTAAAGGAAGCTCTTAAGAAAATGGCAAATGGTAGAGCCAACGGACCTGATTGTATATCTATCGAAGCGTGGAAATGTTTAGGTGAAGAAGGGGTGAGATGGTTAACTAAGTTATTTAATGTGATTTTACGGTCCAAGAAAATGCCTGATGAGTGGAGGAGAAGTACATTAATTCCTATTTATAAAAATAAAGGAGATATTCAGAATTGTACTAACTATAGAGGGATTAAACTCATGAGCCACACAATGAAATTGTGGGAGAAAGTAATTGAGCACAGGTTGAGATTGGAGACAAGTATTTCTGAGAATCAATTTGGTTTTATGCCAGGTAGATCAACTACAGAGGCGATTTATCTACTAAGGGGATTAATGGAAAAGTATCGTTGTAAAGATAAAGATCTACACATGGTTTTTATTGATTTGGAAAAAGCTTATGACCGTATACCAAGAGAAGTGCTTTGGAAAGCGTTGGAAAAAAAGGGAGTACGGATTGCTTATATTAAAGCCATACAAGATATGTATGAGGGGGTAAAAACTAGTATAAGAACGCCTAGTGGTCAAACAAAGGATTTTCCTATAAAGATTGGGCTACATCAGGGATCATCTCTGAGTCCTTATTTGTTCAACTTGATTTTAAATGTTTTGACGGAACATATTCAAGAGGAAATCCCGAAATGTATGCTCTTCGCGGATGATATAGTTCTTATAGCAGAGACAAGAGAAGAGGTTAATTGCAAACTTGAGTTATGGAGGAGGACATTGGAGTCGAAAGGTTTTCGTCTGAGTAGAAGTAAGACGGAATATTTATATTGTAAATTTGATAAAGGACTATTCGAAAATAATTTGGAAGTGAAATTGGGAGATCAAATTATACCTCAAGTGGAAAAGTTTAGATATTTGGGAGCCATTATCCAAAATGATGGCGAAATCAGTGGAGATATTTCACATAGAATTCAAGCTGGGTGGTTTAATTGGAGAAAAGCTAAAGGAGTTATTTGTGACCGTAAGGTGCCTAATAAACTTAAAGGAAAGTTTTATCGTACTGCTATCAGACCGGCAATGTTATATAGTAGTGAATGCTGGGCTCTAACGGGACAGCAAGAGCATAAAGTTGGAGTAGCAGAGATGAGAATGTTACGATGGATGTGCGGACATACACGTAAAGATAAAATTCGAAATGAGCACATACGTAAAAAAGTGAGGGTGGCACCTATTGAGGAAAAAATGGTAGAAAATCGGTTGAGATGGTTTGGGCATGTACAAAGAAGACCAAGGGAGGCACCAGTGAGAAGAGTGGAACATATAACTTTGAGTCCGATTAAGAGAGGTAGAGGAAGGCCTAAGAGAACACTCTTGGAAGTTGTTGAACGTGATCTCTTAATTAATAATATTTCTAAAAGCTTAATAAATGATAGAGCACAATGGCGTCTTGCAATCCATGTAGCCGACCCCACCTAGTGGGATAAAGGCTTGTTGTTGTTGTTGTTGTTGTTGTTGTTGTTCTTTTCCTCATTGCCATGTTCAGCTGCTTTATAAATTTTTCCTGAAGATTATCGTTTATGTATGGTTGATGGTTCTATGAATTTTTTTGGTAGTACAGAACTTAACATCCATTTTTGGTTCTTTGTATTTGGGTAATAAAATTGTCTTGGTTATGACATTTTTAAAGTCCACAACTTTGTTCAAATCTGTCAAAGCTATAAATAAAATGAGAGTTCTTTCTAATAGAATACTTGAAAGGACAACAAGGGGGTCTTTTATATTATTCTTGAGGAAGTTAATTAAATGATTTCTCGTATTAATTGCTTAATGCTTCCTGTAGATCGGAAGGTTGTCGCTTCTGGTTTAGGACCAGATATAAGTTTTTACCATCAGTCTAACTGGATTGATCATTCCTGTAGTCAAACACCTTTAATGCTATTTACTTACATTGTAATCATATAATTTATTCTAAAAGGTTCTTTGGCTGCATATTATCTCTATTATTTCTTAAAATTATTTCCTGTACATATATGCCAGCATTTTTGTATCAATTCATTTAAGATTTCAATGTCAATATCAATATGTCTATAAAAGTGGGTAAAAACACTGTTCACATGCTGTCAAAAGTGTAGCTGTGCCTACTCTAGTTTTGTAATCACAACTCATGCCCTAATGTCAACTCTTGCAGATGTCAAGTACATCAAGTACTTTTATTGAAGCCTTACTTCTGCCATGGAATTTATTACTTACTGGGCAAGATGGTAATCAGTGTTCAAAGGGTCTAATAAAGAAACATAAAGAAAATGGTATTTGTGGGTACACTGATGGTAAGGAGCAAGTACCCATAAAGAGGCAAAAACTTGTCAACGAATCAAAAGATTCATTGCTGAAAGATGAGGCTGGCTATTCTATCTGTGAGTTCAGGGCTTGTTCTAGTTCTTTCAGTAACTCAGAGCAACAGGGCCCTATCAATTTGAGTTCTCATCAGATACCTTGTCAAGTTACATTTAGAAACATTCCTCATAAGAATATAAATAATTCAGCTATCTTGCAGTCTACCTCATCTGTTGTAGAAAAAGGTGCTGATTCTCAACAAATTGGAAGAAAAATTTTTGTGGAGATCTCATCTGAGAGTTTTTTGAACTATCAGGTGTGTCTTGCATTTTCCATTACGCAGTAGACACTATCTAGTTTTGTATTTGTTGTCCTTTGCTGTGAGCTTGAGTATTAAATCACTTCAACCTTTATATCAGTTGCAGATTGGTGATTTTTATGCCATAAAACATTATAAAAAAGATTGTTTCTGCACTTTAAAAGATGCTCAAAGTGGTAGCAGTGTTAAAGTTCTTGATTCTTTAAAATATCTTTGGAGCCTTTCATTTCTTTCTGATGAGGGTCCTCACTGCCATAGATCAGCAGATTCATCCACAAAAGATATTTTGTCTCCTAGCAATAATGGGGTTTTGCTTAAAGACGGCAATGCACCAGGTATCTCTTCAGATGTTTGTCTTCACATCCCTGCAAATCTAAAAGATCTCCTGGATTACAATTTCTTGGGAACAGAAGGTCAAGGCCAGACATCCGCAATATCAGACAAAAATTTCATTAATTCTCTGACTACTGAAGCTTTCGCTGCTAGCTTTCCTCAGTCCTCTGGGTGTCTTTTTCCAAGCTGCTTGTTTCCTGAGGGGAATTTGATTTCTCTCCAGGGTCACGTGATTGGCAGTCATGATGTCAGTTCTAGTATGAACAATTCATGTTTAAGTCGTACAGGCTTGAATGCTCTTCAGTTGAAAGGCTCTGTGGGAGCTAGAAGCAGTTTATGCATTCATGTCTTAGTGGATCGACATATTGTAAATACAAACTCAACTGGTTTATACATTTATGTTGTATGTTAATTTTGACAACTTATTTATCGTGTTTTATTTTATTTTTAGGTGAAAATATTTGGTTTGGTAAGGAAACATGCTTTTCCTACTGGTTTTGGTCCTGGTGTATGTGCAACATTCCATCGAATTCTTGATATGCGGTATGCATCTACTGTAAGATACTTGTATTTTTGTTTTGTAGTCTTGAATGTAATCTTATTGTGTGTCATCGGTAGTTGCTATTTGATGTTGTTAACTTACCTTGTGGAATGGAAAGTACTTGTGAACTATTATCGGCTATCTGAGTATTTTCAAGATCTCTGATTAGTATTTTGGACTTTTATCATCTATCCTAAGTGTTGTTTTAATAAAAAAAAATTGATTAGTGTTTGTTTCTTTTTTTGACAAGATGATTAGTGTTTGTTTTGGCTACTGAAACAGTAATTGCAATAACTTGGTGATTAGCTTAGCTAGCGTTTGCATGACTCTCACACGGGCTAGACGCCATAACATAAATACATGTGATGGACCAAACATGAGAATGTTATTTTCGTATGTATGTTCCTTGTGAATGCCCCTTAATGAAGGAAGGACTTTTCTTGAGAAGGTTTTAATGAATGGCATCATCATATTCATCATTGTCATTTTGACAAGTTTGATTACTAATTTGCAGGGGTCACAATGAATTCCTGTTGCTGCCAGTGTCATTTATTGCAATAAAATCTGTAATATTACATGATGAACCAAACAGTGACAGACCACCCAGTATAAGACCTACATACACATGTGATGCATCTGGAGACACTTTATTTTCAGGTTTGATTTCTGAATTGAACCAATGCCCAAGTCACAAGCAAACATGGCTTCGTTGCAGAGTAAGGTCTAAATTTATGTATGAATCTTGATGCTTTTAGAGTGGGTTAGATTTATTGCTATTTGTTGTGAACAGGTTGTTGCAGTCTTTGTTTTGGTTCTAGAGAGGAATGCTACAGGATGTGATTTACGAGCAAAAAACAATGCTTTGGTGCCTCTTTTTGACATTTCGCTTGCTGGTTTTGTGTTGGGTAAGTTAATTTGGATTTAACATTTAGGTTCTGCCATAACTAACGAACAACTGTATTTTCAGTGCCGAGGAAGCACTTCTACGTTAAATGTGGTTTGACTTGTTACTGTTTCTTGTCATCTATTGTTCTCTAGGCACCGGCACTTGATATGATGAAATTTTTATTTCTTCCTTAAATATCCTGTCCGCTTGTACTGTCTGATAAATTTATGGCATCTAATTTCCGCTTGCTTGTGCTGCTGTAAAATTTTGTCGACACATTTACGTCCTTCATTTGTTCATTTTGTTTGTGTGGTTAGCATTAGTAGTCATAAGGTTTATTTACTTGAGACGTGTGAGGTCTCCCGTTTTATAAATGGCATTTGATCTGTTTCTCACTTTTCATGTCTGGATATAGATGATGGGTCTTCGCCGTGTTGTTGCTGGACTAATGGTGATAGGGCAGCAACCTTATTGAGACTACATGAAAAACTCCCTAAAAGCGGTTATTGGTCACTAAAGCTGGCCGGGATCAGTGATAATACTTCCAGTACCGCTGCTGATCATCTGGTGCGAATTTTGAAGACTCACAAGGGAATTACTGTGAAAAACTACGGTTCATGTTTTAAACTGGCTTCCCAAAATCATGTTGTTTCTGCTATTCATGGTGAAGAGCTATGCAGATCTGATGAAAGACTCCTCAAGTTCATAGTCTTCAATTCATGCTTTGGCAGACCTTGGGTGAGTTAATACATCAATACATTCTAATAATGATGTGACATGGACCCACACACACTCATCTCCTCAGTTCGTAGTCTTCAATTCTTGTTTTGGTAGTTGGGTGAGTTAATTCTTGAATACATTCTAAGACACTCTCGTATAATCATAATTTCGTAGATGGACATGACCGTTAGGATTAGTTGTTTTTGAGTAATATGAAGTTGTTTATCAAGAGGAAAGCCTAAAGAAGCTCAAGGCTGTGCAATTGTTTTTCATCCTTCTCTCTAATTCTCTCCTTTCCTCTTTCTCTCTCTCATCCCAAATTACAAATACACATCAGACACCCCCCCCTCATTCAAATTCATAGTCTTCAATCCATGCTTTGGTAGACCTAGGGGTGTTCATGCTTTTCCCCATCCCGATTGGCTCAATTCTGCCCCAATCATAATGAGATGACTTTTGGGATGGGTCAAGACATGCAACAAAAGTTTGGTCCCATTCATTTTTTGGGAATGGATATGGGATAAGATTGTCCTTGTCTTGTCTCATTCTGTAAACAGCCCTACCTTTGGGTTAAGGGTGTTCATAGGTTTGGTTTTGAAAAAAAACCAAACCAAGCCAAACCAAACTAATCGATTCACTAAAGTTTGGGACCTATTCGGTTTTTCCCTCTAATTAGTTCGGTTTGATTTTTGAGTAGTTTGGTTCGGTTTGGTATAGGTTTGGATGAAGTTGGAACTTATTTAATGAGATATTCTTTATAGTCACCAATATATATTATGTTCATTGATAATTTAACTATTAATTATTATTTGCAATGAAAAAATTTCTTGAGCACAAAAGAATATTTTTTTAACAATTAATTAGTATATTTAACTATTAAAAATTAATGTATTATCTTTAAAACACTTGATTATAAAATTAAAAAATTATCTTAAACAATTATAAATAACATTTACTTAATTATAATTTATTTTTATTAATGATTTGCAAATAACTAAACTTGGAAAAGGGGAAAAAACTTTGACAAATTTATAAAAATATATATAATAAATGTAATAAGACTTGGTTTGGTTTGATTCAAGTTTTTAAAAATAAAAATCTGAACCAAATTGAATCAATTGGTTTTGCCAAAAGAAAAACCAAATTAAACCTTATTTATAATTGATTTTGATTGGTTCATGTTGATTTGGTTCGGTATGATCGATTGGGATTGATTTTGAATATTCTTACTTTGGGTGAGTTAATTCCTTTTGCACCTTTTTATGAGGTTTTTGTTAGATCTTGCATAAAAAATTAGAACTGGTAATATGAATCAACTCGTGACCCACGTTTAAATGAGCCTGTTTTTTAACCCAATCTGCTCCAATTTTGTGAGCTGGCGAGTTGAGTTCATATTACCAACTCTATCTAGTAGAATTAATTTCCACTTCGCTTCCTCATTTCATGCTGACTCGAAAGCTTCAAACTTGATTTGGCAGAATGTTGTTGGTTCTGTGATGAACGCTGAGGAGGTTGATCAAATAAAGAAAGAGTACCATGTGGAAATGGAGATTATGCGTACCATGCCCAATATTTGGGCGAGAGAGGTGTGTTATATGAACACCTTGACTGAGGCCAGGAATATGGCTAGGCAATTTTGACAAGTTAATGCTTATGAAAGCACTTAAGCGCATTGATTGTATAAATTAATTTCTTTATGGTGTCAGCTTGAATACGTCGCATGGAAGTGGCAGTGTCATCAAGTATTATTGCATCTTAGATGTATAATATCTTGTAATGTGTAAATAGCAGCTTTGACTGACATGAAAAGTGAGATGTTTTAATACCAATTTTTCATTAAATATCGATGTTCAATTTTCTAAAGATGTTCTAATTTAATACTCATACTTGTGCATAACAAAGTGAACTAATGAAAACCTTTGATTAGACAATAATTTATTAGATTTTTTTAAATAAAATTAAAATCTCCCAATTTTTTGAACAAGAAATTCCACGGAAAATCATGTGAATGATAGTAATTAAGTTTGAACTTAGAAAGCTTTTACATCTTAAAGGTGGCTCATTTAAAATTTTGATATTTTTGTTGTCATTTAGAGTTTGGCATACAAGCCAATCTGAGCAATTATTGGTTTCATTTTTTTTTTTGGTTGCCTAAGATATTTACATCCTACAACTGTGAGATTAATCTTATGAAATTTAAGCATTATTTAATAAGTTATCTTCTTCTAAATAATGTTTTTTTATATATATACTTTCAAAAATTGAATTTTAGAAAGATGTTTAAGAGGGATAGATCATTACTATATATGCCACACTTATTTGGTAATTATTGGCTTCTTTACATGTGGTTAAATATGATCATTCACTTTTATAATAAGGTCTTTAATCTTCCTAGCGGTTTCAAAAGGTGATTTTTGTTGAAATTGCAATAAATGAGTGTAAAAGCTTCAAGAAATTTAGCATAAAATTACTATTTCAATAAAAATTGAGCCCTTTTAGAATATTCAAAACTTTGCTGTAATGTATTTATAACTTATTTTTTTTCAATTTTAACAAGGAACACAATTTGTAAATTTGGCTTCTAATTTTGCAATTTCAAATTGATGAATTTGTAATTTATTTTCTAAACTTTAAAATAAAGCTCATGTTAATGTTTAAACGTGAAAAGTAATAAAGTTATTATTCCAATAGTTTAAGAGATTTAGAAGTTTGGTTCCAATTTTTATAATTTCAAATTAATAAATTTATAATGTTTTTCAAGTTTTGAAAGATAACATGTTAATGTTTAAAGTATAAAAATAACAAAATCATTATTCCAATAGGTCTAAAAATTTATAAATTCAACTCAATTTTGTAATGTTAAACTAATGAATTTGCACCTTATTTTTTAAATTTTAAGCATATATTTAAGGGCATTTTAGTGAATTCTTTTATAAGTTAAATTTGTAAAAAAAAAAACAACACACACACACGCATGGAATTTTATTGGGATTCTGAAAATCATTGAAATTTAAATTGAATTAATTAGTCCTCTAAAGACTTAATTATTATTCTTCCAAATTATTATTGTGAAAAAATCTAAACTCTCAGGCCATATTTTCAAGCCTTTTCCCATCTCGTGCTTGTAAAAAAAATTCTTTCAAAAATAAAAATATATTTATTTTATTTTATTATTTTTTGATAAAATTTTATCTTATCTTTATTTTTATATTTCCATTTTATCTTTATATTTCCATTTTATGGTCATTACAGCTTTCTTAAGTAAAAAAACCTGGGTAAGGACTTATGCAGCGAAAATTATGGAGTGACATTTTGCCCCCTTCATTCTTGTAAACCAATGTCGCAAAATTGTCTATAGACACGTTGCCAACTTGGGGCATTGGCACATTTGTAAATTTGAAAATACGAAGATACATTGGGTGAGAAAAGATCACATGTTAGAGTAAAAATTAAAAATCGAAGCTAATTAAGCCTCCAAATGCTCATATAAGTTATGTAATTAAGCAAGATACTTGTAACCTACGTTGAAATAATATTATGCAGCAAAACTGCATTTGATCTATATGGTCAAGGCTCAGAAAGAAAAACATTCCTCAAGTTCTTTTACAGTGACTTGTATTGCTCAATAAGATGCGATGCATGAAGGCGCGATGTAGGGGTCGTAGTGCATCCCAGTTTCTTCAAATAAGAAATCTGCAGAAAACCAGTTTAGTATTTAAAAAAACCAAAACAAAACAAAACAAAGAGTCTATTGACTCCTACAAAACCTAATAGGAGGAAGAAAATAAACAAACTATATTCATATTATGATAGTAAGTTTCAATGAGAAAATCCTTCCTTGAAACATTGCACAACTAATCCTAAAACTCTAGGGATAACACATGAGATGAGGATTAAGTTAACCTCCCTTTTTTAATTAGGTAAGGATTCAACCTTCTTACTGAAAACCTAAACCTTAAATGATGATCAAGAACTAACTTTTGTTAACTCTTCAATATTTCAACAGACCGTTGCTTTCTTTTTCTTTGCCACAAGGCATGCATAAAGGCTGATTCAAAACTGAAGTGAAAGACATGAAACAGCAAATCCGGCCCTCCATCTAATTAATTAATTAACAACGTAACGTGAATATAGTTTGTTTATTTTCTTCCTCCCATTTGGTTTTGTATGAGTCAATAGACTCTTTGTTTTGTTTTGTTTAAACTTTAAAGGTAATACCACATGCCTTTAAACAGGCAATCAAGCATTGGAAGAAAATGGAGAAATATTTTGAATCCTAAAACAAGAAACCATAATAAATTTAACAGTTGGTTGAGCCAGAGTTGGAAAAGTATTTTCATTTTTAGAAATCCGGAAATCCCACCAATCAACAAGGCATAACAGCAGTTTATCAACTTTCATGCAAGAATAACAAAAGTGAGCCACGCAATGACGATGAGTGAAAGTAAGACATATTAACCATAAAGCTGGCTTAATTCTAACAGCATGTAGCATAGTACTTGAATGAACACTTGGCAAATAATGTATTTGATGTATTTGAAAAATTGCATGGTTTCTGAGATTCTGCATAAGCGAAAACTTACTTGCACTGATCATATACGTAATCCAAAGACAATCAGGAAACCTAAATATGGGAAAAATCAAATTAATGACGTTATAGCCTATATTTGCCACCTGTTTATGAGTTGGTGTCGCTGAACCCATTGCACTGTCAATCCTTAGTTTCATGAAATGATCCTGAAAATTGAATGAAATGGTCACATTTGGTTTTGTCAATTCAGCACCAATTGGCTTATACAAGGTTAGTCACATGCAACATCTCCTTAAAGAATGGGTGAAAACTATTCAAATGGCCCGCATTGCGAGAATTTTTTTTTTCCTTTTGGTAAAATTTTGTTTAGGTAGGAAGAAAAGTGATTTTCTTACAGTTCTAGGTTCAAAGGATCTCACAAAAATCCAACAAATTAAATAGTAAAAGAACCTAAACCTGTTTTTCTCTCATAAGTAGAGCACGTTTATCAGCAGGAATCTGCTCCCACCTTAAAACCTACAATCAAATCATGCCTCATCAAACAAAATACGACAGAAGATCCAATTCGTCTGAAGTAGGCAGTAACTTGGAGATTTTACAGCACTGTTGCAGCAACATCTAAAGTAACTTACATATTGAGCATAATGAAATGCTTCATCACAGCTTAGGCAAGACTTGAGTGAACGCAACAAATCCTGAAATTGCAGCTCAAAATCAAGGTAATGAAACTGCAAAATGCAAGACATGCTGCAAAATGCGCCAACTTATAGGATATTCACTCAATTCACAAAATGGACAAAAACCATAATTAACAGAGACAATTGGAAAGGGTGAGACAGATGTACCAGTCTCAGCAGAACTGGTTAGAGGGAGGAGAAAGAAAAATTATTAGTCTCTTTTCTGGACTGTTCACAAGAGAAGGAGCGAGCACTTCTACCTATGCAGACGGACATATGAATCACAGATACAAAAATTAAGGCTCATATAAAACCAACATATATGTTAAACACATTGGAACTTCAAATTATGTGGGCAGTCTAGATTTGGTCATGTAGCCATCTCCTCTCAGTTGTCCATGCTTCTTAGCTATGAGAAGCATGGGTCTTCCTAATGTGTCAATCACTTGTGCTCAACAAAAAAGTAGTTTGCATAGAGGATTTACAAAAGTTGATCATGGAATTTTAATCCTCTTGGTTTAATTCATAACTGCTGCCAATTAAGATTAATAAATTCAAATAATGGAAACAGAAACAGTAACCTGAACATTAAACACTCAACATTTCAGGTTAATGTAGGGAAATGAACAACTCATTTTATCATGATTACAACATGGAATAAAATCAAGATTCAGTAATGGCACAAACAACTATTGGTTAATGAACAATTTCATGCAAGGAAATGAATAACTTTAATATGGGCAATAAATAACTCATTTTACCATGATTAAAATTAACTTCGAAGTTTGTTCATTAAAAAAATAATAAAGACAATAGTGACTCTAAATCCCTCAGAAAGATTGACCAAGAAAGATGCACGCATTGATGGACCTTATTTTTGTTCCTCTTGTCTCTTAGGCGTTCATCAATTATAAAGCCGACCTGTAAGGAAAACCAAAAAGACAAAGAACTTGATTCAGTTACCAGACAGATAATAGGGCATCCTGAAAGCTACTGTTAGTCATAACATAAGCCTACTTTGTGTCATTAAAATGGGTTTTATTAACAAACTGAAGCTTTTATAATCTTCAACTTGAGTAGAATTCCTTAGTGTTGTAAAGTAACATCAATCCATAATTTAAATTTATAATTATCTTAATTATTAGAGTTTATTGTTATAACCAATAAGATACTTCTTCACACTGCCTCTAATAAACAATAGAGCACGCAATGATTAAGGAACGGGAGAATTACATTTTGCTATATTCAACAGTCAATAAGTCTCACGGTATTTAAATGTGTTGCAAAGGACTTGGGTGTAATTTTCCCTTAAGGTAATTGCCATAATAGAGCACTTATTCTGCCTACAGGGGATTTTCTGCAGGGATTGGAGTAGAACCAAAGTTGAATAGGTTTTGGTTGGGAGACTCCAAAGGAGGTACTTAGCGAACTTATTCATGGTTCTTGTCGATCAGAGGAGATCAAATTTTTGAGAAATTCTCTGATATTTCTGATTGAAGGCAGAACCAAATATTAATAGAATCGGGAGGAACTATCACAATCTCAAATAAAAATCACAAAATAAGCAATATATACATAAATATTAGGGTGGATGTACTAATCCATTTTTTTTCTAATTTTTTCTCTTTGTTTTTTTAAATTTTTTTGGATGTAAT